GAAACGTTGCCGACCCCATAAAGTATATATATTCTTGATCATTGAGCCATTTCTGTCTTTCCGACCGTCTGTACGTCTGTCCGTCCATCTTGTTGAGCGCCTGGATCTCAGAGACTATATAAGCTAGAGCCCCCAAATTTTGCATCGAGACTTCTGTATGCTCACACTGTTACAAGTGTATTTCGAAAATGAGCCCCGACTATCAGGAGGTGCTCAATAGCCAGGAGATCTTTGGCGACGAGCTCGAGATCTTTGCCAAAAAGGAGCTGCAAAAGGAGGTCGTTGTACCCAAGGCCAAAGGCGAGATACTCGGTGTGGTCATTGTCGAGAGCGGTTGGGGCTCCATGCTGCCCACCGTCGTCATTGCCAATCTGATGAGCTCCGGTGCGGCTGCCCGCTGTGGCCAATTGAATATCGGTGATCAGCTTATCGCCATCAACGGACTGAGCCTTGTGGGTCTGCCGCTCTCCACCTGCCAGACGTACATCAAGAACACCAAAAACCAGACCGTAGTCAAGTTCACAGTGGTGCCCTGCGCCCCCGTTGTTGAAGTGAAGATCAAGAGGCCAGAGACCAAATATCAGCTGGGTTTCAGTGTTCAGAATAAATAAGTGAAAGCCAATGTTATAGAAAAATAAAATGGAAAAAACACCCCCCAATAATGTATAAATATGGATAATCATAGTTTAAAATTAATGATTTTAGTGTTCCGTAATTTTAGTTATTTCTATTTTTTCTCTCTCTCTATCTCCATTTAAAAGTACCGGCGATCGCCGTTAAACTGAACAGATGCCATAGGTGACAAAAATGTAGACAAGCAAAGTGGGAGAGAAAGAAAGAAACAAACAGATTTTATTGCACTAATCTACCGCAAGACGAATTTTGTCTATGCATAATTGTGTGGTACGCCGAAGTGTTCTTTTTATACCCGGTACTCGAAGAGTAAATATTTGTGCACAAAGTCGCTATGTAACACACAGAAGGAAACGTTGCCGACCCCATAAAGTATATATATTCTTGATCATTGAGCCATTTCTGTCTTTCCGACCGTCTGTACGTCTGTCCGTCCATCTTGTTGAGCGCCTGGATCTCAGAGACTATATAAGCTAGAGCCCCCAAATTTTGCATCGAGACTTCTGTATGCTCACACTGTTACAAGTGTATTTCGAAAATGAGCCCCGCCCCCTTCCGACACCGCAAAAGGTCAAAAACCTTCCAAAACCTCCAATTTTGAAGATAAAAGAAAACTAACGCCATTCCGTAGGGAATCATCAATCATATCTATCAGATCAGCGAATTGGGATCCGATTGGACCATTATTATAGCCAGAATGAAGAAATTAATATGCAGTGGCTGTACCGCAGCTTTCGTTGTTTTTTCACATTCTCTCATTCACACTATGCTTCGGCCTCTGCCTCTGCCGCGAGTCTGCAGTGGGTGGGTCTAGGGAAGGGCGGCGAGCTAAGGGAGCGAATTGGTGTGACTAGTGTTGTAGATGTAGATGACATATGAAGAAAAAATGTAAAATTTGACGAAACACCCTCAGTACTACACCGAGTGCCGGGTATAAAAGCTGAGACGCGTAAGAAGCGTCTCACACGTCCCATCTCTATTTGTTGTTGTTGTTCTTGTTTTTGTTGGGTGTTTGATTTCAGCGGCCGAGATCGGAAGCGCTTCGACGATGGAGGTACCGACTGTGAGTGATTAAATTTGTACAATTATTTCTTGTTTGGGAGCAATGCTCCATAAGTAAGGCCGAAGTAAGTAAGGCCTTCACCCTTTTCTATTTTCCCCTCCCAGATGTAGCCGACGAGCCAGCAGCCGAAACAAATATAAGCGTGCCGTCCAGTGCTAGGAATAACATCTTTCCTATAAATGGGTTACCCGTTACAAACCCGCTCCACCATCCCGTACCCTCCCATCCTTCCTATCGCTGCTCTCAATCAATAGCTTTTGCGTCACTTAAATGTAATTTGTGGACCTTTTTTTGCAGAATTTTCCCTTCTATATTTACATGCATACATATGTAAGTATGTACATATTTGTTTATGTATGTGCTGGTTTTGTTGTCGTACATTCGAGTGCATTCGCTGGCGACATCGCTTAGTTCGCCACTTTTGAGTACATTTCATTTTAATCAAGCGCCCACTTGGAAGCCCTGCCTACTCCGTCCCCATCTCTTACTCTCTCTCTCTCTTTCTCTCTTTCTCTGTGCTCTTTACTGCCTACTGCTTCTGGCAACCCTCACCAATCTGCCTTTGGCAAGGAACTGGCATTTTTAATGCATTTCATCATTTGTGGCTTTTGCTTTTAATTTTGCCTGCCTGCCTGACTGCCTGCCAACAACAGCAAATAACAAAAACAAAATCCATGTTTATACCCAGTGCCATCCGAGGGCATGGGGTATACCACAAGCAAGGTAAAGATGAATTT